GATCTAACTTTCAAAGAATCAACATCGAGCGAAAGTCTATCAACGTTCCTAGCCAAATCATCAACTTTAAGCAATTTTTCTTCAAGCAAGGCATTAATTTTTTTTGAGAGATCATAAATTCTTTCACACTATTTTCAAAATCAGAGGGCATCTTATTAAAATTACCATAAGAATTATTGTAGGAATTTACATAATTATTAGAGGAATTACTAGGGAACGGTCTAGAATTAAAGTTTCCTCTATAAGCATTGTTACCAAAATTATTCCTACCAACAAAGTTCACATCCATAGATTCATTATTATTCTCAATCAAGGTAGATAAAGGTATGTCATTGGGATCAATAGAAGCACTCTTAGTAGCAAATAGTCTCATAAGTTCATCCATCTTTCCACTCAAAACATTAATTTCTTCTATAGCATGCACGTTTTTACTAGTAGATCGTTCAGTGTGCCATTGAGAATAATTAGCCATAATATTATCAAGAAGTTTTGTAGCATCTCCTAAGGTGATTTCCATAAACGTGCCTCCTGCGGCCGAATCTAAAAGGTTTCTAGAAGCAAAATTCAATCTGGCATAAAAATTTTGTATGATCATCCTTAAATTTAAACCATGAGTAGGGCAATTGCGAATCATCAATTTCATTCTTTCCCATGATTGGGCAACATGCTCATGATCAAATTGTTTAAAATTCATAATATCGTTCCTAAGCGAGATGATCTTAGCGGGAGGAAAATACTTAGAGATAAAAGCATCTTTGCACTTGTTCCAAGAATCAATACTATTTTTAGGCAAAGACGAAAACCAAACTTTAGCACGATCTCTAAGTGAAAACGAAAATAACTTCAATTTAACAATATCATTATCCGTATCTTTTTTCTTTTGCATCTCACACAAATTAACAAAGTTGTTTAGATGGGTAGCGGCATCTTCACTAGGAAGGCCGGAGAATTGATCTTTTATAACAAGATTCAGCAAAGCAGCATTGATTTCACAAGACTCAACATCATTAAGAGGGGCAATCGGAGTACTAAGGAAATCATTATTATTGGTATTGGAAAAATCACACAATTTGATATTATCTTGTGCCATGGCGACAAGTAATCCAACACACAAGCAAACAGAAAAAGGGCAAGCGAAAGAGGGAGAGAAAAAGGCAAGCGAAAAAGAGAGGAGATTAGGAAAGAGAGGGCGAATAAAATGGCAAGGGTGAAGTGGGGTAAAGGAAAACGAGAGGCAAATGGCAAATAATGTAAATGCGAGGGAGATGAGTTTGTGATGGGTACTTGGTATGTCTTGACTTGAGCGAAGACCTCCCCGGCAACGGCGCCAGAAATCCTTCTTCCTACGTCTTGAGCTTGCGTTGGTTTTACTTAAAGAGGAAAGGGTGATGCAGCACAGTAGCGTAAGTATTTCCCTCAGTTTTTGAGAACCAAGGTATCAATCCAGTAGGAGGCTCCTCACAAGTCTCACGAACCTACACAAACAAACAAAGAACTCGCAACCAACTCACGGCCACTTGCGAAAGTGAGATCTGATAGAGATAATATGATAAGATAAATATATTTTTGGTATTTTGTGATATAGATTGGAAAAGTAAAGATGCAAATAAAAGTAGATTGAAAGCGCATATGATAGAAGATAGACCCAGGGGCCATAGGTTTCACTAGAAGCTTCTCTCAAGATAGCATAAATATTATGGTGGGTGAACAAATTACTGTCGAGCAATTGATAGAAAAGCGAATAATTATGAGAATATCTAGGCATGATCATGTATATAGGCATCACGTCCGCAACAAGTAGACCGACTCCTGCCTGCATTTACTACTATTACTCCACACATCGACCGCTATCCAGCATGCATCTAGAGTATTAAGTTCATAAGAACAGAGTAACGCTTTAAGAAAGATGACATGATGTAGAGGGATAAACTCATGCAATATGATATAAACCCCATCTTTTTATCCTCGATAGCAACAATATAATACGTGCATTGCTGCCCCTGTTGTCACTCGGAAAGGACACCGCAAGATTAAACCCAAAGCTAAGCACTTCTCCCATGGCAAGAAAGATCAATCTAGTAGGCCAAACCAAACCGATAATTCGAAGAGACTTGCAAAGATAACTCAATCACACATAAAAGAATTCAGAGGAGATTCAAATATTTCTCATAGATAAACTTGATCATAAACCCACAATTCATCAGATCTCGACAAACACACCGCAAAAAGAGTTACATCGAATAGATCTCCACAAGAGAGGGGGAGAACATGGTATTGAGATCTAAAAAGAGAGAAGAAGCCATCTAGCTAATAACTATGGACCCGAAGGTCTGTGGTAAACTACTCACAACTCATCGGAAGGGCTATGGTGTTGATGTAGAAGCCCTCCATGGTGGATTCCCCCTTCGGCAGAACGCCGACGACGGCTCCAAGATGGGATCTCGCAGATACAGAAGGTTACGGTGGCGGAAATATTTCTTTGGTGGCTCCCTTGATGGTTTCGGGGTATATGGGTATATATAGGAGGAAGGAGTACGTCGGTGGACGCCCGAGGGGCCCACGAGATAGGGGGCACGCCCTATAGGGGGGCGCCCTCCACCCTCGTGGCTTCCTTGATTGCTTCTTGACTTGCACTCCAAGTCCTCTGGATCACGTTCGTTCCGAAAATCACGCTCCCGAAGGTTTCATTCCGTTTGGACTCCGTTTGATATTCCTTTTCTTCGATATACTGAAATAGGCAAAAAAACAGCAATACGGGCTGGGCCTCCGGTTAGTAGGTTAGTCCCAAAAATGATATAAAAGTGTAAACTAAAGTCCATAAACATCCAAAACATGTAATATTATAGCATGGAACAATCAAAAAATATAGATATGTTGGAGACGTATCAATAGTTTCCCTCATAGTACAACGATGGGATAGTTGCACCTCTCTTACCCCACAAATTTGACGAGCCACTTGATTCACCACATGTTCCTGATGATACATGTCAAGAACTTTATCAATCTGTGGAGAAACATAGATTCCATCAAGCGCCATGTTCGTTGGATCAGTTTTACCATCATAGTCCCCCAAATTAGTCCATAGCCACAGAAAATCCACGGCCCCCATGCACAACCTTCTTCCAGTCACCCAGGCAAAATATCTGGAACACAAACAAGCTCTTTCCCACTTATCTGAACTTTGGGATATGGGACAAGCTCCACACGAATTTCATCAGCTCAAACATCACATTAGCACAGAACTGACAATCGATATTCAGTCTTCCCATTGCCAGCCAACGCTTTTCCACCTCCATCTGTTCCACCTCTGCTTTCCCCAAGATCACATCATCCAATTCGTCATCCTGAAGGTCCATATGCTTGAGCATCTCCTCTAGGTTATCCTCTGTCCAAGGACCCACACTAGACAAGGGTTCAGGCGCATCCACCTTGGTTTGACCAAAGAGATCCAACAATGAAACCTCCCACTAGGCACCGACCCGTGTGACCTAGGTGTGAACCCTCGACGTACATCAGGATCGCCGCCGGAGAGTAAGACAAGGAAAAGGTTTCTTTTCACCCAACTGATCTTTGCGATCTATAAACCGCTTCAATTCGAGCGCCCTACACGTGTCGCATCGTTCCCACACACCGTTTTCCGCATTTCCCTCTCCTGAAGCTTCTCGTCCACACAATCTTCCTCATCCCCCGATCCTATCCTCTTCTCTCCATCTTTGCCCTTCCAGTCAACTTCACATCCAATCCAACACAATCACGGCCTCCTGCACGACCACCGCCGAGCACGAACCCTCCAACCATCGCCGTCGTTCACCAACACCTTCCACCTCATGTGCGCTAGGCCATGCGCTGTTGCCCCCATTGTTGCAACCATGGGAGCCTGCCATTGCTGCAAGAGGAAGCGAGCTATACAACGCAAACCATCGAGTTGTGTACGCTTGCCGGCCGGAGACGCGCCACCGCGGCGGAGGCATCGGGTGCTGCAATGCAGTGCTAGCCAGCGGTTCCTGATGCTGCATCGCATCGCTGGCGGCTCGATGCCATTTTTTCTGTGCTGCTATGGAGCGCCCCCCGGCGTCCCTTTGGAGTTGTGATGGAGCGCTCACCGGCGACACCCGTGCTCCCATGCAGAACTCGTCGGGCGGCTTGTTGCAGCGTCCCGTGCTGCTATGGAACACTCGCCGGCGACTCTCAGAGCTGCAATGCAGTGCGGTGTGCTGCAATGGGGCTGTCGACGGCGGCTCCCGGTGCTACATCGCAGCGATTGCCAGCAGCTCACCGTGTTCCGAAGCAGTGCTCGCCGAACGGCTCGCGGTGCTGCATCGCAGCGGTCATCGACGGCTAGATGCAGCATTCGATGCCGCTTTGGAGTACTCGTCAACGGCTCCGGGTGCTGCGTTGGAGCACTCGCCGGTGCTGCGAGAACGAAACAAAAGAGGGTCCGGTTGGTGCGATGCGAAGAGAAGCAGAGAGGGGCTGAGAGGAACAGATCGGACGGTGCAGTTGGGCTAGATCAAACGGACAGGGAGGCGGCTTAACTTTCGATGGGATCAGTCGGATGATTTGTAGCGGGCGTCGTAAGAGCAAGTACAATAGAGTTGAGTCAGCGGGGTATAAGGAATAAACTAGTATATTTCTGCTTAGTTGGAGGAAAGAGAAGAGGAGAGAGAAGGTAAGCGGGCTCTTGTGAAGAGCCAGCTCTAGCACGTGCTCCTAGGCACCTTGTGAGAATGAAAGGTGGGCCACATAATAAAAAAAAATAGTACACTCTTTTGATCTACTATTGTACATGTTGACTATAAGATGGGTTATAGACGACATGACACTGGCTTATGGCTATACTATTAACCATGCTCTAAGACAAGCCTTAACAGAACGACATCACATCCGAATACGCAGAAGCCTTTTTTGGCAGGTGGCCCAATAAATTCGGAATTGATTTGGGAACAAACTTTGGGATGATTGGATTTTGATTTACAAAGAGAGGAAGGTCAAATCAATGGATGGAAGGTGGCACCCGGACCGGATCGATGACATTGACGCCCCGCTCCACTCACCTGGCACCCTCCCAATCCGTCTTCTACTCCCCCTCCCCTGTCGCTACTCCTGTCGCCGTCACTCCCCGCCGCTCCAACTCGCACCCCGCTGCCCGCCTCCGCCTCCGTTGCTGCTGCTCCGCCGGCGATCCGGCGGCGATGGTGAAGGCCATCAGGGTCCACGAGCTCGGCGGCCCCGAGGCAAGCCGATCCCCTCTTTGTTTTCCGGGCCGAGGGTAAGGGCTTCTCGTTTCTAATCGATTTCTGCTGCGCAGGCGCTGCGGTGGGAGGAGGTGGAGGTGGGCGAGCCCGGTGACGGCGAGATCCGGATCCGGAACACCGCCATCGGCGTCAACTTCATCGACGTCTACTTCCGCAAGGGCGTCTACCCCGCTCCCCTCCCCTTCACCCCCGGTACCGTACCCAACCCAACCCTAATTCCTAAAACAGATTTCCACTCGATTGATTCATGATACCTTGCTGTCTGTTGCTGACGAAACTGAAGAAACCGAGTCTATCCCAGGCCAGTTGCCACTCAAACCAACACTGTCTCACTTGCCATTTTACTAGTTGACACGCCATAGTTAGGTTGATTTGATCGGTCGTCAGTTGGTTTAAATGCTCAGGAACAGGATTCTCGAGATTAACTGAGTGTCCCACCGAATGGCCCACCAACTAATTTTTTAGCTCAGAATTAGGGCTCAGCTGTGTTATCGTGCGACATATAAGTACTACGATATAGCATCAGAGTATTGCTTATATCAATTTAGTTTATTGCTCAAAATTGCTGCTCACTTTCCTTATCCTGTTTCAACTAAGATTGATTAATGATAGCTTGCTGATGAAACTGAAGAAACCGTATCTATCCGGGGCCTATTGCCACTCAAGCCAAACGTTGTCTCACTCACCTAGGTTCAGAGATGTCTCATAAGTTTTGTCGTCGGCTCTTTTAGATGCTCAGGCAGAAGCGTGATTCTCTCAAGATCATTCTCACTGAACTTCAGACTAAACCGTCCAATTTTAATCTTTTTGCTCAAAGAAGAGTTGGTGCTCTCTTGTGTCACCCTGCGACATGTACTATATAGCATCAGACTGTTGCTTCTAACAATTGGCTTGTGGGTTGTGCCTTTCGCCGTTATCAGTGTTTTTGTTCTATTATTGTCTATCTTTATGATCTGTTCCACCTCCAGGTATGGAAGCTGTTGGCGTGGTGACTGCCGTGGGGCCCGGACTGACCGGCAGGAAAGTCGGGGATGTCGTCGCGTACGCAGGCAAGCCTATGGGTTCTTATGCTGAAGAGCAGATTATTCCAGCCGATGTCGCTGTTCCTGTCCCGCCTAAGGTGGATCACAAGACAGCGGCTGCCATCATGCTCAAGGGGATGACTGTTCATATGCTAGTTCGCCGCATATTCAAGGTACATTCTGTCTTGTTCGTGTTGTAGAGTCGTGTGACATACTAATAAAGTCCTCAAGTTAAGAATTGTGCATAGGTCAATCGGAGCACCTAGATGGATAAAACACACTGTATGTATCCAGGGGCATGATTATTGATTACGTGTTGCTTGTTGAAGGCCTGATAAGCAATTTAAACTGCTTTTTAGTGCAAGGTGTTCATACATCACATACTAATATAAAGCGATCCACTGTAAGAGTGAACATGGGGATTTTCGTTATCATTGATTATTGCAAAAATAATTGCTAACCTCTACAGCATATATATGTTGGATCTCTACAACCTGTAAGTACTGTGTGTGCGTATGTTACATATGCTCAGAGATCAACATTGCTTCATGATGGTTCACCCGATTGCCATGACAAAAAGCTTGACTGCATTTTGATTGCCGTGCAGGTTGAGACCGGCCATACCGTTCTCGTCCACGCTGCTGCTGGTGGAGTTGGATCACTCCTTTGTCAATGGGCGAACGCCCTTGGTGCCACTGTCATTGGAACTGTTTCAAATGAGGAGAAAGCCACACATGCACATTTTGATGGATGTCACCATGTGATCATGTACACAAAGGAAGATGTTGCAACCAGAGTCAAGGAGATTACAGGTGGAAAAGGTGTAAATGTGGTCTATGATTCTGTTGGGAAGGACACATACAAGGTAAGATTGCTGTACCAGGTCCTAGTTTGGAAGCTTGATTCACTTTGAATGCTTTTATTTTTTTATCCTTTCGATGGTACTTTGCGTAGAACTACTATTTGCAGAACATCTGAATACTGAGATCTGAACATGATCTGCTCGTGTTGTGCCATCCCACTAATAAAAAGAATAACTAATATATATTTAATACCTTGTTAATGTGATCTGAGCACCCATTTCAAAATAAACAGTTGGTGTTTCCCTTCACATTGTCATGACTCAGTAGCATTCCTGGGCATAATTGGTTGTAGCTACGCCACCTGCATTTTCATATCTTTCAATAGACACAGCATGTTATTATGGCCTTCTTGTATGGCGTTTGTGTAACTACCTGATATATCGCCTCTTATCTTTTTTCCCCATTAATTCATGTTACGAGTTTACATACATATGCGTGGTGTCATACTGATACGGGTAATGCCACCCCGATCTGTTCATGTGTGCAGGCATCCCTGGAGTGCCTGGCGTCCCGCGGTTTCCTGGTGTCGTTCGGGCAGTCCTCGGGCTCGCCCGACCCGATCTCCATGGGCGACCTGGCGTCCAAGTCGCTGTTCCTGACGAGGCCGAGCGTGATGCACTACACGGGCACCCGCGACGAGCTGCTGGAGGCGGCGGGCGAGGTGTTTGCCAACGTGGCCAACGGGGTGCTGCACACCCGCGTGAAGCACACCTACCCGCTGTCGGAGGCGGCCCGCGCGCACGCCGACCTCGAGGCCCGGAAGACCTCGGGGTCCGTGCTGCTGATCCCGTAGAACTAAGCACCGTCTTCTTTTCGGTAGGAGAAGAATTGAATAAACGGGGGACTCGGCGCTGTATGCGCTCTAGAATCTACGAATGCCTGTGAATATGTTGGCTGGAGTTGGCATCTGAACACTGAATCGTTTGTGTGCCTCACTTGGTTATGTTGGATTCAGTATGAATGAATGTTAGGTGGTTATGGGTTGGATTTGATTGTGGTCTACTAAGTACTCTTGTTGTGCACACCACTGTCTGTCTGGTACTACTCCGTAAAGAAATACTCCCTCCGTCCCAAAATTCTTGTCTTAGATTTGTCATGTGTTGATTGGCTGTGAGGGGAGATGGACAGGTGTCATGTATTTGCACCTAAAAGTTGACCCTTTTGCCCGTCCCTATCCCTGTTTAGGTGGAGAAAAGTAGAAAATCAAGAGATACATATATATTCAAATATTTCATGTGTGATGATCAACATTTTGTCCATCAGAAGAAAAGAAGAAGGGTTGTTCACAAGTCACATTTAGGATGAATATTAATACCACCAATAATGCTACTAGCATATATATATATATATATATATATATATTTGAAAAGGCTACTAGTATAAAATTGAAAGAAGAAACGCAAATTGAAAGCTTGGGCCTTCATCTTTCCTCCTGTGTTTAAAAGGAAGATGAGAAACAGCAGCGCTGCCTTCTGCGGTACTCCGCTTCTCCAAGAAACAGAGGAGAGGAGAGGGGAGAAAGGCTTGATCTTGACCGGCCGGCGTCCATGGCGGCGGCGGCGGCGGCGGGGCAGCAGCAGAGGGTGGTGGTGATGCGGCACGGGGACCGGCTGGACCACGCGGAGCCCATGTGGCCGGCCAACAAGCCGCGGCCGTGGGACCCGCCGCTGACCGACGCGGGCGTCCTCCGCGCCTGGACCGTCGGCAAGCGCATCCGGGCGCAGGCCGCCGCCGACGGCTACGCGCTCCACCGCGTCCTCGTCTCCCCCTTCCGCCGCTGCCTCCAGACCGCCGCGCAGGCCGTCGCCGCGCTCTGCGCCGTCCCCGACGACGCCGCGCTCGCCGCCGTCCTCGACCCCAGCGCCAATGTGCCCCTCGAAGCCTCCCGCGTCAAGGTCTATTCTCTCCCTCCCTCCTCCTCCTCGCCCCCTCCCTCCATTGTTCCGTGTTGGATTCATTCGTCCATGCTCGCGTTGATATTGGTTGGATCTGCGCCATGTTAACAAGCCTGAACTTGGGGATGGGATGAGTTGTTCTTCAGTTAACTGGGACACACCAGAGAGGTCTCAGACTTTCAGTTAGCTGAACTGAAGTTAAACTGACTGACTGTTTGTACAGATACTCATTATGATTTAGGGTAAATAAATCCTAACAGCAGTTTAGCCTTCCGATTTGCGCCCTTATAGCCGATGAATTGCTGGAGTAAATGACCGTTCCGAACTTCCTATTGCTTAGACCTGAGCTGAAGGTTCTTTATGTGCCATACACCTGAGCTCACTCAAGTTGATTCTCTGAAAGAAACTTAACTTGTTGGAACAGATATACACTGATTTAGGGTGATTGTAGCATTAGTTCACCTCTACCGTCCTGCCACCGTGGTCGAGTTGCATCGAGCTTCAACTGTTGTGAGCTTATTGTACTCTCATTATGCAATTACTGCTTCTACGTTCACTGCATTTTGTGTTGCAGATTGGTTAAGCTAGTGCAGAGGCTGAACTATCAACTTTGCTGTTCCTGCACTCCACAGTTATGCGCAATGATAAGAAATACCTTTGTTGATTTCAGGTGTCGATCGAGTATGGACTCTCTGAGATGATGAATGTTGAAGCGATGGGCGCTATCGTCAGCCAGATTGCGCCCGGCGTCGAGAAGTGGTTCCCTGACCTGGCAGAACTCGAAGCCATCTTGCCACCTGGTACCATCGACCATTCCACAGAGCCGCTCTTCTCAGAGGTCAGCTTGGTCCATAGATTGTGATCTATTTCCTTTTTGCAGTCACCATTGACACATCTTATTTGTCTAGTCACCACTAATTTCCAGCTGTGTCCATTTTTGTGCACAAATTGGCAAACAGTTTGTCACAGAAATCCATCATATATGCCTGAAACCGTCGGTTCTTTTTCACCGCAGGTACCCAAGTGGGGAGAATCTGTGAGGGGAGCAAGGATCAGATACGCTAGCCTGATCAAGGCTCTCGCCGACAAATACCCTGACGAGAACCTACTCTTAGTAACACACGGTGAGCTCGAAAGCCTTTGTTTAGCCTCTTCTAGAGCGAAACACAACAGTTTAGATTCAGTAAATCACAATCGCACCGCCGATGTGGTATGTCGGTCGCTCCAATTCTACAATGGACTGAAGAGTTAGTTGAGGTGATTTGTTGCTGCTGCAGGTGAGGGTGTGGGTTCCTCGGTGGCGTGCTTCGGGGCCACGGGCATGGAGGTCTACGAGGTGGAGTACTGCGCATACACCGTGCTCGAGAAGCAGCCTTCCGGTGAGGGCGGCGGTGATGAGAGCGTGCTCAAGGTGGTGGCGGATCGGAGCGGCCCGACCACGGGCATACACTACCTGGTCACCTGATGAACACAATCAAGCAGCATGATGCCATCGCCTCATTCATCAAGTGCTGGATGGTGACGGGGAGCTTGATTAGTTTAGTTTTGCAATCCGCATTTGTTTCCACGAGATTTGATGCTTGGTATGTGTCTTGTTTAGAGAACTGTGGTTGGTTCGTCCCGGATATTTTTTGTACTACTACCAATCGTGGTAATAATTTGCTAAACTGCTTTCTAAGTCAACTTTGCATTCAGTGTGATTTTCCCCCCGAAATGAAAGACATAATATTTAACGCGTCCATTGAGTAAGCAGGAGATAACCCCGCAAAAAAAAAGTAAGCAGGAGATAGTTGTTGTTGGAGAACTAACAAAAAACCCGGGCGAAGCCAATACAACAAGGCCCAAGCCCACCCCCAAGCACTGAAGAAATATGCAGCGCGCCCTGGACCGCCTAAAAAAGAAGAAGCCGTGACCACCCCCAAGGCCCAAACCCGGGCGAATTTCACTTTGCAGTATATGCTCTCCACATGTCCGGCGACAGTTGCATCACTTGACATGCCGACGACCAACATCGAACGAATGCCACGTCGCCAACACGACTCTCCACAGAGAGGATGATACCCATGCTAGTGATTACGTGTCTCTCTGCTTGTTGATCTGCGTACGACCAAAGCTACGTTCTAGAAGATCCGGCTCGGATATCGATCTAGTCATCTAGATCTAGGAGTATATGGTCACACGATGATCCACGCATATACTGCAAAGGTGGCAGTGCACCATCACCGGGGTGCGCTATAGCTATAGCTTTACGTCTGTGTTGTGTACCAAAAATACAACAGCAACATAAAGATCGCAAGACAATGAAATGAAAAGGATGGATCGTCTCGTCTGCCCTAAGGAAAATGCAGTGCAATCTACTTCCTCGTCAATCGTCGGTCGTATATCGATGATGTTCCGTGCACCTACTACACGTCCTATGTCAGATCCAATCCATCATCCATGTCCAAATCCCCTGTTAATTAGTTAACGATGATGTGTACGTTTCATACTGGATTCTGCCTTTGTGCTGCTGCTGCTGCTGCAAAAGCATGAATGAAAGGGATAAAAGAGAGAGGGACCAGCCAAGCCAAATAGCCAAGTGTATGGGTTTGGGTGGTGTATATGTGTAGTAGAATCTTCCATCCTTACCTTTTTTTTTGTGTGTGATAATGCACTAGTGCAAAGTAAGTCCTGTCGATCGCAGCTAGCTGGATCGATCTAGGCTATGCATATACATAGTTTCTAGCAGGAGTCGATTGGACACAATAGCAACACCTCACTAAAATGACGTGCAGAAAAATCACTAGTAACACCGTTTATCCTCGCCTAAAAAACACCGTTTATCCAAAGTGAGAAACTAGTATGAAGAGCCTATAACTAGCATGATGAACACACACAAACACACTACATGTTAGCATGGCTCACGCAAAAATCATGTAGTAATGCGAAGAGTGTCAGGGTTTTGATCTTAGCTCGTAATGAATCGAGCGAAAAACGGGGAGTCAATTCCAGCACGCCCGTGCTTCGATCATAGGCACGCAAAACCAACGGTTGGTTTCGGTCCCTGGTCCCTTTAGCACTATATATGTGTGTATATATTATAAGAAGGAGATCATTCGTCCATGCACATCCTATACCTAAAACTATCGACCTTGAAAGGGAAGGGCCAAAACCATAAGTCAGCAACCTATCTTGAAGAGGAAGGGTTATGTCTCTCGCTGATTGGACTAGCTAGCCGTCTTGTCTTCCCGTGCTAGTGTTATCCGTGTTGGTGAGCGGTTTTTTGATATAGTGTGTGTGCATGAATCGGACATCCATGGTCACAAGGAGGTTCGTGCAACATATCCTTTGGTCTATGTAAAAAATTGTTTTGTTTCAAAATGTCATAGAAGATTGTTGTTGATGTTTTTTTTTCTTCCGTTTTTTCAGAATGTACTATGGTGTTTTCTATGTGTACGCACCACTGAAAGGAAAAGTGTATGTATCATTAGGTTTTCGTCGGGCTCCTTCTTGTTTCTTAGGGGCATCGTGAAGTTTTGCTCGAATCCTCAACGCTATGACTGGAATTTTAACTCGAAACTCGCGACCTAAATAAGTAGCTCCTCACTCAGCTCGACTCAACTCGAACTCGGTGGTTAACGAGCCAAATCGAGATTTAATCTAAGCTTGCTAACAAAATAAGTTTAACGAGCCGAGCGAACGAGCTACTCGGTCAGCTCATTAAGCTTGTTGACCAGAAGGGGCATAAGAAAAGTTGTAGATTGTTATTATTTGGTGTACCGAATGTTCCTTTGGTGTAAATTGTTGATTAGATTTGTAAAGAAAAGTTTATGTCTACAAATATATTTTTATGTAATATGTATATTTTTGTTATTCACATCTATTTTCTTTTGTTATTCACGTCTATAACAAACTTAACGAGTTAAGTGAGTTCCGTACAGCCGCCGCCTCCCCTAAAAAGTTAGGGTTTCTTTGTCTCTCGCAAGCGCCGCCGTTGGTCCGCCTCGTCTTCGGTGGCCTTGGGGTCATGGGAGCGGAGTGGATCCCAGTCTTTGCCGGTGGCAGGACTCTATTTTTTTAAATCTTCTTTCGAGTTTGGTTAGGGTTGGTGTTCTGCTTAGGAAGACGAGACGACAACGGCTCCCTGAAGATGGAATAAGGTTCTCCCCGCCCAGGCCCCGTTCCGGTGATGCTTCAAGCATCGTCGATGGGCGTGTGGAGATGTGTCTCCGGCAGATTTGTCTTTGGTGGATTTCCTCAGATCTGGCCGTCGTTCGTCTATATTCTTGTGTCTTCAGGTTGGATTCTTCTAATCTACGCTCCTCTTCATCGGCGGTTGTTGTTGTTCTGTTGCGTTGGTCCTATGAGGACTTTCCGACTGTCTACAACAAGTTTTGCCCGGCTCCGGCGAGGGAGGGGCGATGACAGCGGCGCGTCTTCGGCTCGCTCAGTGCTTGTAGTCGTCGCTGGGTGGTCTACGAATCTAGATGTAAATTGTTCGTTGTACATCCATAATTGAAAATGAATAGAATGAAAGTTTTTCCGAAAAAAAAAGTCACGAGTTACACCAGTCAAGCTGAGTTAGAATCTTATCTTGTTATGTTAACGAGTCGAGCCAAGCTAACTCGTTATCTTAACGAGCTCTAATGAGTGGCTCGGGCTTGAATCCACCTGCATTGAACGTTGTGATGGGTAGATAACGCTACATAGCGTGCACGGTAGAAACACATTTTTGTCCTTGGTTAAGGCCAACTTCACCGCGCGACCCCAAACGGACGTCCGTTTTGTCCGGTTTCTGTCTGTTTGGGTAGGGATTTGGGGTCGTGTCCGGGCCTGTCCTGGGATGCGGTGGCCGTGCACCCAGCGCACGGCCACATATATTTGCCCCATCCTGTCCGTCAGGGCCAAAAATGCCCAAATTTGCATCAAAACTAGTTTCCAACCCAAATATTTATCTGAAAATTAAAATAGTTTTAAAACCCAATTGAAATTGTCTTTAATAAAATAGTTTTACAACCAAATCGAAATTGTCTTGACTGAACATAAATTGGACCAATACATCTATTGGTTGCCAATGTGATCCCAGACGTGCTCAACCAAGTCATTTTGAAGATTCAAATGAGTGTGCCAATCACGCATCTCACGGTGAAATTGGACAAACTGTTCAAATGTGGCCGGGTCTTGGTGCAGGGGCTCAATATTTTCGGAAAATGTGGCCGGCTCCGGCGAGGGAGGGGCGATGACAGCGGCGCATCTTCGGCTCGCTCAGTGCTTGTAGTCGTCGCTGGGTGGTCTACGAATCTGGATGTAAAGTGTTCGTTGTACAACCATAATTGAAAATGAATAGAACGAAAGTTTTTCCGAAAAAAAAGTCACGAGTTACACCAGTTAAGCTGAGTTAGAATCTTATCTTGTTATGTTAACGAGTCGAGCTAAGCTAACTCGTTATCTTAATTAACGAGCTCCAATGAGTGGCTCGGGCTTGAATTCCACCCGCATTGAAGGCTGTGATGGGTAGATAACGCTACATAGCGTGCACGGTAGAAACACATTTTTGTCCCTAGTTAAGTGCTTGTGTTCACTTTGTATTTACCCTAAGTCAACTCATGTCTCATGGTATGTTCCAGCGATGCATGCTGGGCTGCTGGCCACAAACCCTTGTCCAAATATAGCACATTAAATGTGTGCATCGTCTAGAAAAAGAAAAGGAAAGCAAATGTGTGCACCGAGTAGAGAGACAGAGGGAGAGAGAGATGCTCAGCTGGGATAAATGAGAATAGGTTACTGCAAGCGGAAAGAAACGATATGGTTGTACTCCCTTCGTTTCTAAATATTTGTCTTTCTAGAGATTTTAACATGTGTCTACATACGGAGCAAAATGAGTGAATCTACACTCTAAATTATATCTATATACATCCGTATGTGGTCACCATTTGAAATATCTAAAAAGACAAATATTTAGAAACGGAGGGAGTAGTAGTTAGGGTGCTCATACCCTCCAAGCTTCGTCTGTAAGCCCGTGGATCCACCTTCCCTTCGCCTTCCACTCACTCTTTCTTTTTTTGCTTGCAGAAAGTGGCTTTAGGGTGGACCGCGACACTTCATCTTCGAGTTGGTCTTCCAGGCTGCAACCCTTTTCGAGTTCGTCAATTGGGCGGACTCGATGGAGTTGCTGTCTCCTTGGGGAGGCGAAGTTAGGGGTTCTCGGCATGCATGCGCGGCAACGACGAGATTTGATCTTAGGCGCTTCACAATGATCCAAGGGTCTCAACGGTGATGCCTGCGACGGGGGGTTGCCGGTCCTTGGACATTGACAAAGTCAAGCTGGCTTTGGTAGGGAAGTGACGCGTACCGACGACGGCATTGGGCATTTAGTGGCGCAGGCTAGGGTCCTTGAGGTAATGTTTATGGTACTTAGGATGCTTTGTATTTCTTACGAACCTCCGGGTTGATTTTGTTTTATATAATAAAAATATGTTTTTTGCACTACTCCCTTCGTTTCTAAATATAAGTTACGTATAGATTTCTTTACGGACTCCATACGAAGCAGAATGAGTGAATCTGCACTCTAA